GGGGGGGGGGGGTCTATCGCGTATGAAGTTCGTTGAATACAGGATGGAGTAGCTCACTTGGTATTGTCTACAATTAGCAGAAAACACGAAACAAGTACCGGCAAGTCTGTGTTTTGTTTTCATCGGTGACAGTTCCTAATGTTATGTGCTATAATGGAATGCTAGAGACCTATGCGCGTACCTGTTATTTTCATGCACACAATGCTTCTCCCTTTTCGACACACGATGTTTATAAGATCATTTATGAGGAGAAAATGGCTCCGATCGACTATATTTATCCGCGATGGCTACTGGAAGCAGACGTGAAACGACCTGGGGATGATGAGGTAAGCATCGGCGAGTCGAGTCTGGCTCTGGATTTTGCATTCATATTTTAAACATGAGATAGACAGATCACGCAGTTCGAAATGGGTCTACTAAGTGAAAAGCTGTCATGGAGATTGCAGGTCTCGCTTTGGAGATTATAAGCGCCTAAAGGGATAAGGCGTATCTAGAAATGGCAGATGCGTTACGTAGATTCAAGAAGTGTGCAAGTAAAGGGATTATTCCGGCCCTCGAAAAATTCAAGAGAAAGCGAACATTATGCACTTCAGCCTTGCACAACGGTAGACGTCGACTCTGACGACACGGCAGCAGACCCGACAGTGCCATCTACTCTCGAGACAGCCGTTTTACCTGAAGGAGGCACAGAACACGGAGAGGAGAGTTTATGGGATGAAACCGCTACAAGAGATAATGACGGGTGAATTGACGGACATTGATAACCAGTTGAAATCCACCAACAAGTTGTTGAACAGCACCAACCACTTGGAAACCAACACCATTGAGCCTTCGGAGAGCGGAACTCGTCTGGAAGAAGGGAAGGAGAAGAAAGGAACACAACAGGTGCATTTAATACGATAGGCTTGCTAAGCTGTCAGTACAAGCTCGGAGGAGAATGAAGCATCAGAAGTCGGCGATCAAATCACCGACTTGAAACACGTGATCCCTTGACGTTGTATCACCATCTACGGACTTCACACGCTCCGGCGGCGGGTGCTGCCTAGCGATAGCGACCCTCTAGCATCGACCTCGCGTCCCACCCATGTATCAAGTCGAAAGGGATGTCGCCTCTAGCCGATCGTAGGTCGTGTTGATGGCAAACGCCAAGCGTTCCGCATACTTGTCCCAGTATTTCTGCTTTATGTCAACGACATTCATCTCCAGGTCCCTCGCCAACGTTTGCACCATTCGCTGCACTGTACCGCTGGTCTGCATGCAGTACGCCACGGCGGTGCGTTACCTTGTCTCACGGCGCGGTTGAAGGCA